ATATATGTACTGTATATATATTTTTTTACTTTATTTTTCAGGGGTGCTGAGTTAAAATTTAGGGGTGCTTGAGCACCCCCAAAAAGAGGCTAACATCGCCACTGGGCTGCAGATATACAGCCACCCCTAAAAATAGAGGACAATGGCCTCCCCTTAAAAAACTTGTGTTCACTCCCACAGGCCCCCTTGGCAAGACAGTTTTATCCCAAGCTTTTATATGTATGTACAAAGTATATATGCACACCACTCTAAAACCAATTTCCTCAGCATCAGGATGCAGGTTTTTGGAGGATACATGGCCTCCCCATTAAAAATTTTGGAAGCGCCTATGTTTGTCTGGTAAAAAGTTTAACATTTATATCAGTTCATTTTAATGAAAAAATTATCTGTACAATTATAATTATTAGTGGTGGTCACAGTTCCGCTAATTAATTCATTCAATCTTTATTTAAACAGGTTAGTGACCAAAAGAACAAGATTGCTGATACAGGCGGTTGAAATTACTTATCTCCGCAGGGTAGCTGGACTCTCCCTCAGAGATAGGGTGAGAAGTTGTTATGTGGGAGAGACTCAGAGTAGAACTGCTAATCCTTCACATCAAGAGGAGCCAGTTGAGGTGGTTCAGGAATCTGGTAAGGATCCTCTCTGATGCTTCCCTATGGAAGTGCTTTGGGCATGTCCGACTGGGAGGAGACCCTGAGGAAGACCCAAGACTCGCTGGAGAGACGGTCTCTTGGTTGGCCTGGAAATGCCTTGGAATCCTCCCAGAAGAGCTGGAAAAGGTGGCTGTGGAAAGAGATGTCTGAGCCTCCCTGTTCAAGGTGCTGTCCCCGTGACTCAACTCCGGAACAAGCAGAAAATAATAGATGGATGGATGAAACAAAAAAACGGATAAATGAGAGGAGAGCGACTATTGTATCTGTGTAACATATAGGAGAGGTGGCTATGCACTACATTCACTGCATATTTCCCATTTTTGGTGTAACTAGTGCCACATACAGGCCTGGCATAGTTACTACAACGTTTTAGATCATTTTGGGGGTTTCCGTGTGGATGGAAACACTTCTAAAAACATAACTGGTTTGTTCCACTTTGGAGTAATCGGTTTGGGGGAAGAATCAGTTTTGTGTTGTGTGGTTCCTTGACTGATGAAGCCTTCCGGATGGAAGGTGAAACGTTTCAGCAAAAAAAAAAAAAAAGAAACTGTCCAGATGACCCGACTGAAAAATGTTTGATTGTATACCTGGATTATTGAGCATGGACTATTTTTTAATTTTTTTTGGTTTTGAACCAGTTTGACATGACTGTCGATGAGGAAGAGGGCTGGCACAAGAGGAGGGGGCGTGCCAAAGACACCATCTTAGCACCGACATTACTGGTTTGTTCCACTTTGGAGTAAGCTGTTTGGGGGAAGAATCAGTTTTGTGTTGTGCGTTTCCTTGACTGATGAAGCCTTCTGGATGAAAGGTGAAACGTTTCAGCAAAAACAAACAAAAAAAAAAAACTGTCCAGATGACCCGACTGAAAAATGTTGGATTTCTAAAAAACTCTTTGTTTACAAGGATATTTTTAGATGTGACAAAAATGTAATTTTGAAAAAAAAAAAAAAACCTATGCATTTCCACCTGAACAAGGCTTGACAATACTCAAAGTGATTTTTTACCGTATATAGGTATAAAACTGATGACTGAAAACCTTATTCTTTTAAAAGCCCAATAAAGGACAAGCATTGTAAACTAGCCATAGGCTAGAAGTCCTTTACACAAATCCATAGTTTCATTGTTTGCTATGTAAGACTATTTATTTGTACACTCACTGTACAGTAAATTATTTGAAAAAGTTGTGAACAAGAAAGAAAACTATTTGATTCGAGAGAAATTACCACATACAGGAATGTGGATTAAGGGCCCTTAAACAGGGGTTTCAACAAATCATGAACCACGACAAGGATTAAGATGAAAGTTTTTAATCTCTAAAGCACATCCAGGTAATCTACACAAATTCACAGAAATTTACCATCGAGTCAGAAGTGACTCGTCGGTCACTCAACATGCTGGTTTCTAGCTACAGTGAAATTATCTTGGTGCGGAGTGTTTGATACTTTTGGCTACAGACATTACAGTGCTACTGTACAATATCAGTCTAATACAGTAGTTCTCAAACAGTTTTCTGGCCTCTAAGGAGATAAATGATTAATACTAGTTGGTCTGTCAGTTCAAAACACGTAGAGCAGCAACACATTCAAGTATACCATCAAAAAAAAAAAAACACTTAGTGAACAGAGCAGCAATATGACACTTCATCACAGATTATATCAAACCATGCGCACAGCAAGCTTCCAGTAAACGACATCTTCACAATTATTTAGGTTAGTGAGGTTAATCATTTTTTTATATTAAAAGTTTAGAGACCTGTTGTGTCAGTAAAAGGCTACACATTCAGCTGCATATCAGTCACAGTTTGTCAGTCGTGGATTTTTGGTTAGATTCTAGCAGTTAGTAGATTTTGGAGTGTTCTAAACAACATTAGTTAGTCTAAATAGAATAAATTACACACAATATACAAAAATTAAAAAAAAAGACTCTCACTAGGACACTGCTCACAATAAGTCAATTTACACAACACCACAAGCAGATTCAAACTAGAGGTCACGCCAACACTTCTGTGGAAATGCCGATGCCTGGGAAAATCTGCTGACTTGGCTTTGTTAAAAAAGCTTAGATTTTCACCTCAAAACGTTCACAGATTACAGGAAAAGTCCATTTATATGCCTCATTAGAATACATAAAATAGGCTGGGTGTTAGTGCTGAATATATTTGTTTGCAAATGTTGCTGGGAGTGACATAGGAATTTAAATCTCCTCTGATCCTTCCCTCTCCAAGTGTAAAACGTGGAGGGCCTTAGCAGCATGGTCAGCCCAGTGGATTAGCTCCAGCAGCACACGGCAAGTCCACATTTTGAGGCCGAAGGCTCCCCCGGCACCGTCTACATCCTGCAAGAAAAGATAACAAAAACGGCAAATGCCTGTAAGTAAATTTAATCCTTTACGCTAACTGCACAAAAAGATGTATTTGTGCATAAAGGTCATGTTAAATACACAAAATATAATAATATGCATAAAAAATACCTAGTAAAAAGATTTATAAACTCACTGGGTTGGGATTATTTAACAGACCACTCCAAGTGAGGACTGATCGCCTTTTAAGGTTAATATGCTAAACAAGTAATAAAACCTTAGCCTATATAAACACAGCAGAGACAGAGGTACATCACTGCGGACATGGAATCTTTGTTGCTTTCTGTCCACCTGATGAA